CCTGCCAGGAATGCCTTTCACGATCTTTTTCTTCCAGCTAACCCCTACCCATCCTCCAAGTCACATCCTGTGTCTCCACCTCCAGGGGAGCCCTTCTTAGCCCAAACACCTTTCATCTGCACCCCCACAGCACCCTGTACATACTTCTGTCATTGCATTTACCCACTGTTTTTTGTTTGCACGTCTTTTGCACGTCTGTTTGCGTGTCTTTCTCCCTTAGCAACCTGGAGCCGTTAAATGCATGTCCAGTGAATGATGTGCAGAGGGAGAGGAACTGGGAGGGATGGGGGAGGAGCCAGGTGGCCCACAGGAGGGGTCCCACTGAGCCTTGGGCCTGGTACCCTGCAGCCAATCTACCAATGCTGAGCATCCTCTGAGTGCCAAGCCCAGTGCTGGCTCCTATGGGGACAGAGATGATTATAACACAAAACTCATGCCACAGTTTGTGGATGGGGCCATGTTTGAAGCTGTGGTACTGATTCTTAGGCCCCAGGAGAGATGAATGTGCATAGGGGAAGTAGGGGAGGCATGAGCTGGGCCTCTGAGCACCCCGGGTTTGGGTCCGTGAGAAGAGGAGAGAGGGGAGGCATCCCAGTTAGAGATCCGTGGGCTGATGTCAAGACCAGCCTGAGCAGCAGGGAGGCTGTGTGGAAAGAAGCAGATAAAAAAGTGGTTTGGATAAGAAGGTGGTTTGGATAAGAAGCTGATCATGGGCTGTCTTGAAAGTCTGGAAGAGGAATTCTGGAGTAGACTGTCAAGCAATAGGGAGGCACTGAAGGTTCTAGAGAGGTATGGGGATGAGTCAAAGTGAATACTATTTGCTGCTTTAGAGAAGGCGGGGTTGGGGCGGGGAGCGGGAATCTTGCTGGCCCAGGAGTTTTGTCTTATTCTCCCAGGCCCTTTGCTAGCCCTCAAAAGATGAAGCTGACAGGCATCTGGCCTGTCTCCCCTCACAGCTTTTGGGAGCTTCTTGGCACAGGCGGTCCTCAGATCCGGATCTGCTGGGCCTGGGATGTCCCGCCAGCCGTCTCCTCAGGAAGACGGCCCCTTAGGGATACCCTGCTTTCTGTCTCTGCAGGGAGAACTTCCTGGTCCTAGATGTCTTTTTTGAAGCCCTGACATCCGAGGCCATGGAGCAGCGAGCAGCCTACGGCCTGTCAGCCCTGCTGGGTGAGCCCCGGCCCTGATTCCATGGGGGTGGACCGGACCCGCCTCCCCCCTCTGACCCTGCTCTCATGCTCCCCAGGGGACCTTGGGGGACAGATGGGCTTATTCATCGGAGCCAGTGTGCTCACGCTGCTGGAGATCCTAGACTACATCTATGAGGCAAGGGATGGGGCCCTGGTGGGGGCCACCCAGATGGGGAGGGGTGGGTAGGAGGAGGGGCTGGGGGGAAAGCAGAGGGTCAGTGCAGGCTTCCTGGTGGAGCTGGACTGGCCGGAGGTCAAGCTCAGGGTTATTTACCAGCGTCCCCTGACTGGTGGGAAGGCCCGAGCGCGCTGATAAGTCAGGAGAGGGGGATGGGTGAGGAGGACTGGGGCGTCGTAGCGGGGGTTTGCTGGGCCAGCAAGTCCTGTGAGGTGGGCCTGGTGGGGCCTGTCCTCCTCTAGCAAGTTTCCTGAGCCCCCTGCTATCCCCCCACCCCGAACCCCCAGGTGTCCTGGGACCGACTGAGGCGGGCGTGGCGTCGTCCCAAGACCCCCCTCCGGACCGCCACTGGGGGCATCTCCACTTTGGGGCTTCAGGAACTGAAGGAGCAGGTGAGGGTGAGCGCTGTAGAGTATACAGCCAGCGTCCTCTCCCAGGACTGAATCCCCCCTGTAACTTCTGAACTAGCCTGCGGGAGGGGGTTCCTGGGCTCCCCTGAGGGGACAGGGTAAGGCTGGCTGTGTGAGGCCTGGGGGCACCACGTGAGCTCTCCCTGTCCCACCCCCTCTTCGCCTCGCAGAGTCCCTGCCCAAGCCAGGGCCGCGCTGAAGGCGGAGGCACCAGCGGCCTGCTCCCAAACCACCACCCCCCGGGAGGCCTCTTTGAAGACTTCGCTTGCTAGGATGGTGCTGCATCCAAAAGGACCCAGGAGTCTGGGACTCCAGCCCAGATCCCCACCGTAGCCTCCCGCTCTTAGGACCGAAGGCTTGGGGGCAGCCCAAAGCTGAGGGGAAGAGGGCGGTGCTCACTGGGAGGGTGGGGACTCGGTCCCTGCTCTCACCCACCCTAGTGCCACCTGCTTTGCACAAGGGTCCCTCTTGTCCACACCCTCCTGGTGCCCAGGGAGGGCTGGGGACCAGGTCATGGGCCCCAGTGGAGGGGAGGAGAAAGGGAGGTGGAAAAAGGGGCCCACCCCAGAGCGGGTGGAACCCTCTGTACATTTGTATATATTTAGGGAGGACAGGGTGGGGGTGCGGATACAGATGTAGCAGGTGGGTGGGGCTAGGAGGGTCGGTAATTTAGAGACAGCCGGGGTCCCAGCCCTACAGTGTCAGCAGGAGAGGGCAGGTCCCCAGGACTCAGGACTGCTGGGCTGGTCCTGCTTCCTGCCCCTCTCCAGGCCCAGCTTCCCTTTTGGCAGGGGGAGTGTGTGGTCCAGCAGGCCTGGCCCAGCTTCCAATTCCCTCTGCCCCAACCCCACTCCCAGAATCCCCTCCACAGGGAGAGGCAGATCTTTCAGAACTTGGCTGAGCTTGGGGGTGGGGAAGGGGGGCCTTCTCAGGCCTCTCTGCCTCCAGTCTGGTTTTATAAAGTGCTGACAAAGTTGGGAATAAAGAGGCATAAAGAATTCTCTGTGTGTATATGTGACTAAGCTGGGAGCTGGGGCGGGGCTGGGCATATGCATGACTTGGTCCCTGGGAAAAGGAAATACAGGCCCCAGCCAGGACAAGGAGCCTCCATCCTCAAAGCCCTCCCTGTCCCCATGCCTGCCTTTCAAAAACTCAGGAATCACTAGCCGGGACTTCCTGGTGGTCCAGTGGTTAACATTCTGTGCTCCCAATGCAGGGGGCCCGGATTCGATGCCTGTTCGGGGAACCAGATCCCACATGCCACAACTAAAAGCCCCCGCATGCCGCGACTAAAGTCCCGCATGCCACAATGAAGATACCATGTGCTGCAACTAAGGCCCAGGGCAGCCAAATAAATAAATATTAAAAAAAAAAAAAAAAGAACCACTAGTCCACACTCAGCCAGTTTATTAAAGGCAGGGAGCTTCATCAGGACTGCAGAGGAGAGAAGTTGGGATATACCGCCCCTTCTCTCTCAGCTCCCCACCTTCTCCAACAACTCATCTACAGCCCAGACCCCCAGGGGGCCCTAGGAGGTGGGGCTGGCGTCAGGCAGGTTGCACTGCATAAATACTTGGAGGCCACAGCCTGAATCAGCAGCGTCAAGAGGGAAGGAGGACCGGGTTTGGGGCAGAAAGGGGTGGCTCCAAGGGTACCTCTTCCAGGGCTTGCTCTAAGCCCAAGGGTCCCCCAAGCCAGGGGGGGGGGGCAGCGGGCTGCCCTGGGGTCTGAGGCTGCGGCGCTCCGGGTGGCTGGGAAAGAGCGGGGCGGGGCACCGCCTTCCCGGGGTTCAGGGGCGCAGGGCGGGGTCAGGTGCTGTTGCCCTGCTCCTGCTCGAACAGCAGCATGGCCAGCTGGGTGCGGGAGCCGAGGCTCTCGAGCGCACTCTGGCGGCAGCGGTGGTACAGGTCCTCGCTAAGCCGCGCGCTGCACGTCTGGGCCCGATAGCGCTGCAGCAGCGCGGGCTCCACCGCCCGCAGCACGTGCAGGCTGGAGAAACGCAGGAACAGCTCATACACATCCAGGCTCTCCAGCAGCTCCTCCTCCTGCTCCGAGGCCGCTGCCAGCCGCGCTCGGGCCGCCACGTAGTCGGAGTTGTAGAAGCAGGCCTCACTGGCCGCCTGGCGATCAAAGCGGCCTGTGTCCCGGCCTAATTCAGGGGGTCCCGGGCCCTGGGGTGGGGCCACGGCCGGGTGGAAGGCCTGGAAGTGCATGGGAAAGAAGGCTTGCCAGCCAGAGATGGCATGCATGC